GCTGTTGCCATTGCATTTCAAACCCTTGCAATGGGTCCATGTTTAAGTGAGAAGTGTTTATTGCATTAACATCTAGGGGTAGCTACATGGCCCGTACTATGGTCTCTTACCTCCTTTAAAGGGCTCTGACGCATAAGCCCTTGGGTTGTACAGGGTATAAGGGTCCCCTTTGTAAGGGCCCATACTAAGAGACCATGTTCCTACCTAGATGTAAACCCTATGAACTATAAACCCTACAAACCCCATAAACCCACAAACAACAACCAGTGCTGTTAGATTCGTGCCTGGAACTCACAGATGGGTGATTGTCAAAGTTATGGTCCCTTCTGGGGTCCCTAATATGATACGGCACCTAATAGTTTGGGTACCCCAAAAGTGATCATAATTTTTTGACAACCACGCATATGCCCTAATCCCTAATCCCTAATCCCTAAACCCTAAACCCTAAACCCTAAACCCTAAACCCTAAACCTAAACCCTGAACCCTGAACCCTGAACCCTGAACCCTGAACCCTAAACCCTAAGCCCTAAACCCTAAACCCTGACTGACTTACGCACTCAGTGACGATTGTCGGTAGATGCATGAGGCAGCGTACACATGCCAAACCTTCACCGCTCAGGGTTCAGGGTTTTAAGGCTTAGAGGGTTTCTGGCCCTCCTCAAAAACAAAATAAAAGGCTTATAGGGTTGAAAGTGAAGGGTTCAGGGTTAGGGTTTAGGGTTCAGGGTTCTTATGGTTCCTAGCCACCCTGGTGGGTTTTTGCGTGGCATTTGGGTTCGTCTTCTTCGCCGGGCGCCCCTTGGCGCCCAGCAGTGCAGCGCATCGCCCGGGCTTCTCGGGTCCTGAGGAAGACCAACCCCTAAAAGCCCCGTAATCCCAAAACCCACAACCCCCCTAAACCTAAACCCTAAGCCCTAGCCTTCAGATCGGGCTTACAGGGCGACGTGTCGAGCCGCCTAGATGTGTGTCGGGTTGACAGGTCCCTTCTACGCCCCTTAACAAACCCAAAAGGGCGGCCCTTTTATTCCCAAGTGATTCTGGGGTCTGGTAATTGCAGCCCACCCACCTCCTCCTCGAAATTCTGAAGTCCACCCCTGGAGGAGCTCCTCCTCCAATTCTTTTGTTTGGGGGAGGGGGGGGGGGAGGGCCGGAGGGCTCAATGCCTTCGGGCTGGCCGTCTTGACAACCCCCTCCCCCTAACAGCAAAACTCCAATTTCCCCCCACAACATATTAGTTTCAACATTCTTCAACAGATCTGCAACTGGGATACGCTTACTAAGACGAAGTATAGGGGGCTTGAATACCCGGAGGAAAGGATTCTCTTCGGTGTACCTAGTTGCAGCCTTTCATATGCTCCAAGCCGCATGTTGTTTCGAGCTAATCATCATCCCTAAATCTTGGGATGTTCCCCCTTATACTAACAGTCCTTGATAGGGATTCTAGTACCCCCTATGATCATCCCGATGAAGGACTGTCAGTATAAGGGGGAGACATCCCAACCTGAACCCTATATAAAAGGCGAGTAATTCTTGCACTTGGGGTTCTACAGGCCTTGGCGGTATAGCAAACGCACGGACAGCCGTGGATGGAAGCCGGCGACCAATGCTGTCGTGAGGCCAAGGACGCCTGGAAAATGCTGGAACCTTTGGGAAACTGAGAACCTTGAAGCTCGGGACTACAGGGTTCAGGTTTTCAGGGTTTCAGGGTTCTAGCGTTTTGGGGTTTATGGAGGTTTAGGGTTTTAGGGTTCAGGATCCTAAGCCCGCAGATTCTGAGTGACCGCCTGAGACTTATTTCAGGAGGCTTGGAGGCAGTGTCATTCAACAGCTGCCTTGGCGGCGTTGCTCCACGCACTTCAAACCAGAGACCCCCCACCCGCCAAAACTGCCCGGCAGGTGGCGAAAAAATCAAGGCGAACCCCCAACTTAAAGCCAGTCTTCCCATTCGAAGAGCTCGACGTCACTCGAAGCCTGAACGGGCTTCAAAGGCTTTAGGGTTTAGGGTTTAGGGTTTAGGGCAACTTGGTTCCAGCACACCAGCATCCCATTGCGGCGTCCACTCGACCTTTCTTTTCCCAGGCACCTTGAAGTTGCATGGCAGGCATTGTTTTTTTCAGGCTTAGGGTTCGCGAGTAGCCACGCGCAACACCCTCATGAGAAGGCGCAGAGAGTAGAACCCCAAAAAACCCTAAACCCTAATTAAACCCTGAACCTCCAGGCCTTTCGGCCTCCCAGCCCCACCCCGCAAGGCACCCCCCCCCCCCCCCCCCAAAGCCCAGCCACCAAGGTGTAGCAAGGCCAACGAGGCACAAGCAGGAAGGTTTAGGGTTTAGGGAAAGCCTTCGACACAGTCGAGGTGCCAGGAGCAAGTGTCAAGACAAGAGGTACATGTGATCACAGGAGCCGAATCCTCGAATTCAGGGGGTATCAGGAGGGACCCCCTACTCTTAATCTTACTCCCCTACCATAGCCCCTAAAGAACCCCCAAGGCCGCATGTAGTCCCTTGATCTAAGGCTGGAACTATGGGCCCCTTAGTGTGGTCCCTTAGCCTAGTTTCTAGGGATCCGAGGTATGGGCCCTCATTCTGCATAGTGTATAGAAGGGCCATGTCACAAGGGGCCCAAATGAAGGGCCCATACTTGACATGCAGCATGCATGTGATGCTCCAAATAGAAGGCCCAAACTTGAATGGATGAAGCACTATGTTGGGTGTCCTCTTGGGGGATACTACAGAGATAAAAACAAAAAACATTTAGGGATGCCCAACGGGCCCCAAGTCGAAGGGTAGAGAGGCCAGAAAAGCACAAGGATATCCATTAGTTGGTTAAGAACCACCCAGGATAGAATGTTTTCCTATTTAGGGCAACATAGGGATTAATATTCAATAGTTTTCTTATAATTACCATTCGTCTTGTTGCAGTTACAAAGGAAACACACGCAGAATAGACGCAATGCACCCTTAGCATCAACACTGTGTCCTGGGCGGAGGGCGCGGAGGCAAGCGAAGGGCGCGGAGGCAAGCGAAGGGTGCGGAGGGCGTGAGGGTGCGGAGGGCGCGGAGGGCCGGGGGGGGGGGGGGGGGGGGGGGCGGGGGGGGGGGGGGGGGGGGTGGGCCGGGGGGGGGGGGGAGGTGGGTGGGGGTGGGGGGGGGGGTGTGGGTGGGGTGGGTCATTGCAAAGTTTGATGTTTCAAGGCTTCTGTGATCAGTCGAAATTCGATGTTGAGACCGGCGAGAGAATGGTCCTTACCTCTGGATTACTCTGGATTTTCGATTGTGTTTAGGGTTCAGCATTCTGCGGTCAGTTGCACCGGCATCAGAACCATCCGGATCTTTCACAGAGGTCCCATGGTACCAGATCATCAAACTTAGTATACTTGCGGGGTACCAAGTCTCGTAGTCGTAGTCTAGGTTTAGAGCACCAGATCAGAGCTTCCGAAGAATGCCCCAGACCCGAAACCCTAAACTCCGCAAGCATCCTAAACCCTAAACCCTAAGCTCCGTAAGAATGGCTCCGCGTGTCTTAAGAAAAGCTTGACCTAAGTTACCATCGCAGCCATAGGTAACGATGAAGTAAGATGAAGATGGTGCCCCTTATCAGTGGTAACTGAGCTGTCAAGTTCCTCAACGGTTAGGGTTTAGGGTTTTGGGGTTTAGGGTTTAGGGCAAAGTTCCCCGGCAGAGCTTCGTTTGACTCCATGCAAGAACCATCACTTCTCACCTCTCAATCTTCGCGCACCACCTCTTATTTTTCAAGCGACCTTTGGTGCGGCGTGGTGCGCTGGGATGGTCGGGAGCTTGTGGCATGTAGGGTGCGGTTTAGGGTTTAGGGTTTAGGGTTTGAAAAAAAGGGGTTTGGGGTTTAGGGCATACTACTCCGATAGGAAGCGCATCGGAAAACCCAGTTCGCCACAGCACTGTAATCTCAAAAAAGCGAGTGCATGTAATGCTTCCCCTACCGTGCCCAGGAGACGCTAGTACCCCTCAATGAAGTGATCCTGAACTCAGAGTAGGATCCCTATCCCTATAAGTCTCCAAATAGCCCAAAGTAGGTGTCGTTTACAGACTTTAGACTCCAGTGTAGGTTCTTTTTGTATACTTGGAGTCCCAGGGTATTGCAATTTATGCAAAGATTCCGGCGTATACCCTAAACCCTGCAATGTATGCACAGATTCCCGAAGTATCAAGGACCAAGGAGTCTCCCGGTACGGTCAACAGTGCTACCGTGGCCCTGCTAGCTCTCCCCTTCTTCGGCAAAGGGATGTTGAGCAGAGGCTTCCCTAAACCCTAAACCCTAAACCCTAAACCCTAAACCCTAAACCCTAAACCCTAAACCGCATGCTTCGATCATGGGTTGGGTCAAGTCCACACAGGATTAGAGTCTTTCATTTTGCGACTGACTTCCGATGACTTCCTAGGACACGGAGTAGGCCCTGGTTACCTTTTTTGGGGGGTTTAGGTTCCCTTATGGGCCCCTTTCATCCATAAAGGCAGCCTTTTCATTCCTGGGTTACTCTAGGGTCCAGCTTCAAGACGTCGAAGGTAGATGTCGACTTACACCGAGCTTTGGTGTTTCGGATCTGCGCGAACACCCGGGTCTAAGCCCAAACCCTAAACCGTTATAGGATACAGGGTTTAGGGTTTAGGGTTTAGGGTTTAGGGTTTAGGGTTTAGGG